TTTTTTCAAAGCCCCCCCCCCCCCTCGATTCGGATTTGTTACGTAACGCTAAGTTTGACCCCCTCCCTCGCTGTAATGCACCATAACGCTGGCTTCAATTCCCCTTCCTCCCTCCCTAGGTGCGTTACGTAATACTTGAACGGCCCCTTCTCGATTTGCGACTCTCCCTCTTTTACAGTGACGTGGCGCGCTTTGCGATATATCGATTGATTTGCCATTTAAACCTATGGAAAAGTATCGATAAACAGGGTGCCGGCAACGTGCACTTTGATAATTGATTCTTTACCATAGGTTTAAATGACAGAACAATCGATACATCGCAATTCACGCCACGCCACTGCCTTCTTTAAGTCGGAGGCATATGGATCTACGATGAGTTGGTATCATTAACATGCACGCAACAAAAACTTATGAGGGAAAGTACCATCTGAGAAAAGAATTTTCCACTATATTTTTGTACTCCGTCGATTTTTGTGGCCGTAAAACGAAGAAATTGTATACATTTTTAGCTTTTTCTTACCTTTTTTATTGAATGATGATGTTTGACGTGGTAATGATGTTTGACGTGGTGATGGCGATTGACGTGGTGATGATGTTTTACGCGGTGATGATGTTTCACGTGGTGATGATTGTTGACGTTCCATCGAGAGGGTCCGAACAATGATCATAAAGACAAGCAAAAGTCGTAAAAGCATCTCCGTGCTCATCAGTTCAACTTCTGTCAAAAGCGGGGCTCGTTGTTATCTCACTTTTAATGTCACGTGCAGCATGTTTCAAAAAGATCTCGGGTAAAGATTTTGGGAATCTGAGTTCAAACCGTAGGATGAAATGAGAAAAATGCACATGGTAAGATAAAACCGCTAATGGTGAAGATGTAAAAATGACAGCACCTTCTCATTAAGTCTAAAATTTTAACATAATGCGTAGCGAGAAATTTTAATCAAATTATGCCTTAATAGCTAGTAAATAGAGATTAAGACTTAACAAGAGGAACAAGGAATGGCTGTGTGCAGTGCTGATTTCCACCGTTCGAAAACTTCCTCCCAGATTTTCTTCATAAAATTCCCAATGCGAGATCTCAGTTTATAAAACCACGTACCATGAAGTAACAATTTTAATCTAATTATGCCTTAATAGCTAGGAAATAGAGATTAAGACTTAACACGAGGAACAAGGAATGGCTGTGAGCAGTGCTAATTTCTACCGTTCGAAAACTTCCTCCCAGATTTTCTTTATAAAATTCCCAATGCGAGATCTCAGTTTATAAAACTACGTACCATGAAGCAACAAATGTCTTTAAGGTTCAAGTTCGTATCCATCCAACCCTCTTGCCCTCGAAAGAAAGAGATCGTAAAATTTAACATTTAATTCGGATTAAAAATTTCGGTTTCACTGGTAAAATATCACTGCCACAGGGGTTTTGAGCGAAACATTTTAGAAAGACACTGGAGGTAAAATGCGAAGATAAATTGCCTTGGCAAGTCACAAAACGTGTTATCACGAGTGCAGTCGATGCGAGAAGATCGGATTCCATCCCCTGTAGGCTCGGATCTTGCCGAACTGATGTCGACAGGTTTTTGAACTTCCACGATCGATTCTGTAAAAGTTCGCGGCTTTCACTCACGCAAAAAAATACTTTGCGTTCGTTTCTCATCACCGGCAAAAAATCTCCTATGTTCGCGGAGTGTTCCCGACGCGCCACGCACTCGCGGAGTTAAATAGAACCTACGTGTCAGATGCCTTCGAGTGAGATTAGTTCGGTACGAGCATTACAGGCTGCCGTGCTGAGGAACAGAGATGGAAAGTGAAATTTCATAAGGCTCGAATAAATTCCACCAAAGTTGAAATGTATTAATTTTTTTTTAGAATTATTGATTAAACCTTTGGAGGTCTGAAAGCGTTTCAGTTGGTCTTTCTGTTGATACTGCGGTACTATGCTACTCTACTGAAGGTGCCAGACACAAAGAGGGGGCAAAAAGAGGAGTTAAGAGAGAAGAACCCCAACCTAACCTCTAAACTAAACGAAAACATTTGCAACGCGCGAATGTTCTAGGCTTGGGGTAAACAACTTTCAAAATTTAGAATCACTGTTTCTAGGCGTTTCTTAGCCTCCCGAATGTATCCCCAAAAGTTACCATAAATTTCATGAAATTTCGTGAAATTTCACTCAAATAAATTTCAGGCGTGAAATTTCACTCGAATAAATTTCATGAAATTTTCCATCTCTGCTGAGGAAGAACGCCGAATGAGTCTTTAGACGTTGCAAAATTTCCATCGATAAAATCAGAATTTACAGGGAAAATGGTGAATATTTTCCCCCAAAATTTTCAGATGATTTCGCACGCACTTCAATCTAAAATATCTGAAAATTTCAAAGAAAAATGTGCATGAATGTCGTCAGAAATACATTTTTTATCAAGGGTAATTTGGCAACTCTTGAATGCTCATACGGCGTCCTTCCTTAGCACGGCAGAGGGTGTCCGGAAAAGCGGGAAATGTCAGGAAATTTTGTTTGTGTCAGGGAAAACGTCAGGGAATCCACAAAAAATCAGAATGTCAGGGGCTTGTATTTTGCAAGCGATTTTCTTGTCAGAGAAATCGAGAAACACGGATTTTTTTTTTTAATTGATGATAAATCAGTAAGTTTCAGAAATATAGAATCGATACTAAAATTTCTCCCAGAATTTCTGCTGATATCTTTTAAATTTTAAAAATAAAGCAAACATATCCCGTATAAGTTTAGGCACCATATATTTTGCCCTGTTTATTACATCATATCCCTAAAACTTGAACAAATTCTTACTTATATTTAAGCAGTTCAACCGCAAGCAAAATTGTGAATATTTTTCCTTTTTGTCAGGGAATTATGTTTTCTGTCTGTCAGGGAATTTTGAATTTTCCCCCGTTTTGGCCGTCTTTGTCAGGGAAATATCAGGGAATTTTATTTTTGAAAAGATACCTTGTCATTAGTGCTGCAGCCTTATAATTGGGCCGCGTTTATCAGAAAGGAACCAAGCCACATCAGCTACTGTCAAATTTTATGGTTAATATGAAGATGATTCTTGGATTTTTATGCCAAGTTCAGTGAATTTTCTGCGGAATGTGAAGCAAATTCCTTGAAATTTCTCAAGAAATCCATACAAACGTTCTCGCGTGAAAAATTAAATTGCTCCGTTTTTGGCAATAGCTGATGTGGCTCGGTTCCTTTCTGCTAAACGCGGTCCGATTCGCCAACTCAGTCAGAATATTCTAGGGAGCCTCTGATGATGTCCGATAGTCGCACGCAGTTCGAACCTCGGCCGAAATTCGGCCCCGAGGGCCAAAAACTTCGGTCATTGAACCGGGAAACTATGGTGTTCAAAATTAACCGAACTTTTTTCCCTCGTTAAGAGAGGAACTTTTTCATGGGACTAGTTTTTGATTATGGTCTCAACTTTGAAAGCTTTTCGGGGGCTTTGGAATTTATTTTTAAGGAAATTACGTATATCCACCATCGTATTTCTCTCTGAGGTGTGATTCCGGACTTACAGACTAAATCAAAATTACCCTCTGCGTGCTGAAGTTCTCCATTGAGCCACTCCGAATTCCGAGAATTCGGTCTCGCAAATACCTATCGGTTCGAGGTCGCAAAACGTTGAATAGAAAAATTCGCCATTTGCCGGCATTTCGCAGCCATCGGATCAAAGCTGCTTTCACATCATTCCACGTAGCGTCGCACATTTTTTGCTCCTCAACTCGCGAAAAAAAAATCAGAGTGCTCCCGCCCCTTTAAACTTCACTGCGCTGTTCGTGGAGCATTTGCGCTAGTGTTTCATCATCGCAGTGGCGTAAGCAGTGAAAAAACGTTACCAATAGTTTTTGTCAACGTGGGGAAACAGAACACGCACGAACATAAACTTACGGTAAATTTCTCTCGCTTAGTTTTTCTTTCGGTTCGATGGGCCTGTTGCAAACTTTCGCTAGAGCAAAAATAAGAGTTGTTCGTCACAGAAAATGTCTCAAAAATCACGATGAGCGTACTGGCAAACTCTGAAATACACTCCTAACTTCACAAATCACAATCTGCAGAAGAAATTTGCGTTCTTTTTAAGCTCCCCGCTTCAAAAAGGATACTACGGCACAGGTGAACATTTCGTTAGAGGAGTCGTTCCATTCCATCCCTGCTCGACATCGCCGACGCTTCCGCGCGCAAGTTGAGGAGAGCACGAGGTCAATCAAGGCGGATATCCATGAACGCGAGAAAAATGTGAATATAAACACGCCGATTGTCATCAGGTGATCAAAATCCTCGTCCCGTCAAATGTGTTTTGGTGGATTGGCGGCGGCTATGTTGAATATTGCGTGGTATCCTTGTGAGCAGGGGTTGGATGGAACGACTCCTCTAACGAAATGTTCACCTGTGTTGTGGTGTCGTTTTTGAAGCGGGAAGCTAAAGAAAAACGCAAATTTCTTATGCAAATTTGGAAGTAAGTAGTGCATTTCAAACTTTGCTGATACGCTCATCGTGATTTTCGAGACACTTATTATGAGTTACAACTCTTATTTTCGCCATAGCGAAAGTTTGCAACAGGTTCATTGACCGAATTTTCTGGTTGAAAACTCCGAACGAGAAAAAACTTAGCTCGGATCGAAGCCGAATCCGGTTGACAACCCGATTATCGAAATCTATAGACAAACAATACAAAGAGAAAACGGAGCGATCCTGTCGCAGGAAGCGGGTGGTTTCAATAGACGAAGGAGGTAAGTTATAGACTAACTAACGGCAAGAGTTCGTAATTTTCCCCCTTAGTCTACAACAACCCCCTGTTCAAGCAATAGGAGCGCCTCATTTTCCCTTTTTCTTCTTTGTCTATAGCTTTGTCTATCAGTGTCACCCAGCCAGCGTGGCACTTTGCTAATGTCTCGGAGTAATTGAAGGTTTCCAAAGGTTTGACCAAAATTTTGTTGAGTCAACCCATGCAAAAGTGAGTTCACCTAAAGTGACAGGTTAGGTTCCTAACCTAACCTACGGAAAGTAACTGAGCAAAGACCAAAGACATAAAGACGGAGCGCTCGTATCTAAAAGCACGGGGAAAAAGTGAAGCTAGGTTCGGCGCTGCGCGCTTGTGTGAGTGTGTAAATGAGCGCGGGAATCCATGGCGGCAAACGGAAATTTGATTTGAACTTGTCCTCTTGATTTTTGCACATTTCTTCTTTGAAACGTATTTTAAATTCCTAAAACGAATATACTAAGAAAGTTCGGTCTGCGTCCTAGTATAATACACCTACTTTTGCTCGGTAACAGGCAGTAATCTCAGATAAAGTTAGTTTTTCTTCTGCTCATGGTGGTTCTGCAGGTTCTAACAGGCCGTTACAGTTCTAGATCAACGTTACTCCCAAATGAAATTAATCGGTCGACGACGGACTGAAACTAACCTAAAGTTAAAAAAATATGAGTGTGTACCTGAATTTGGGCAAAAATCAACCTAAAATACTTTGTTTCCGCAATTTTATTTATTAGTTCCCGCCCTACATTTGAATTCAAACTTGTCCCGATTTCGCCGCCAATCCTCTAGCCAATAGTAGAGGTGATTGAAAAGAAGCTCTAGAAGCTTCATTTTTTGCTTTTAGTGCTCCGTCTTTATGTCTTTGGCAAAGACGCTTAGTGGATCGAGTCAATGGGAGAGGTGGGACAAAATTCGGAAACTTTCAAAGCTTATAACGCCGTTAGTTAAAACTTTGAGATTCTAAAAATGGTTCCATTGGTTTTCTGGTGAAATTTGCTTCTTGAAGCACCACTTATAATTTAAAATGTGTTTAACCAAACATAAATATTAATGTTTCATTATATGAAATATGCATTTTTAACTTACAAATTATTTTCAGACACAGTCCAAGCATTGGTAGAAAAAATATGTTGAATCATAAAAAGTCAGTAGTTACGAGTTTTAAGAGCCAAAATAAGTGGAAACCTCACAACCTTTCCCGCTCCTTTCTAAATTTCAAAGCGGTCTCGGTTTCCCCGCGATACCATTAACCAAGAAGAAGGGTCGCTTCATTTTTAGCTGTGACGTAGAACAGTACATTTCTCTGCTTGCCACCACCTTCTGTATTTTCTCTATACCCTAGTTTTGTATAATATTGCTGCTCCTCCAATAATTTTCAGTTTTTCGCACCATTAACGAATAAGAAGGGTGGCTTAAGTTTTAGCTGTGACGTGGAACAGTACATTTCTCTGCTTGCCACCACCTTCTGTATTTTCTCTATTCCCTAGTTTTGTATAATATTGCTGTTCCTCCAATAATTTTCAGTTGTTCATACCATTAACGATTAAGAAGGGTGGCTTAAGTTTTAGCTGTGACGTGGAACAGTACATTTCTCTGCTTGCCACCACCTTCTGTATTTTCTCTAATCCCTAGTTTTGTATAATATTGCTGCTCCTCCAATAATTTTCAGTTGTTCATACCATTAACGATTAAGAAGGGTGGCTTAAGTTTTAGCTGTGACGTGGAACAGTACATTTCTCTGCTTTCCACCACCTTCTGTATTTTCTGTATACCCTAGTTTTGTTCAATATCGCTGCTCCGCCAATAATTTTCAGTTTTTCATACCATTAAAGAAGAAGAAGGGCTTAAGTTTTAGCTGTGACGTGGAACAGTACATTTCTCTGCTTGCCACCACCTTCTGTATTTTCTCTATTCCCTAGTTTTGTATAATATTGCTGCTTCTCCAATAATTTTCAGTTGTTCATACCATTAACGATTAAGAAGGGTGGCTTAAGTTTTAGCTGTGACGTGGAACAGTACATTTCTCTGCTTGCCACCACCTTTTGTATTTTCTCTCTACCCTGGTTTTGTATTATATTGCTGCTCCTTCAATAATTTTCCGTTTTTCGCCAAAGGCTTCAGGCGGCTTTTGCGGTCTGCGCCGCCGCTTCCCTCTTCTTTCTCTCCATGACATCCCCCCAGAAACCTTGTATCCTCTGGATTTCTTCGGGCGTTAGCTCGACTTCCACCGGCTTCGTCGAACCATCCGCTTGTACCTCGTCCACCGTGATCCGGGGCGTTATGTTTTGGGGGATTCCGCCGGTCTGCTGTCTTTGCTGGGCGTTGGTCTTCTGCTGGTTCTGATCCGCCACCATCTGCTTGAACTGCTCGTACGTGAGGAAGGTGATCCCCTTGTCTTCGCCAGCCAGCCTCTTCAGCTCTTCCCGACCTTGCCGAGTTCTGCCGAAGAAGTTCAGGCGTCCGTATCTCTTCGCGGCCTAAAAAATTGATAGGTTATTGATTTGTTAAGTATGAAAAAGTATACCGAAACACGCTGTGTTTTGTCTAAGTGCTTGCTGAAGATGGGCTAAGCCCGAAATGCATCCAAGCCATTAAACTTTATTCAACAATATGCGTGTTTCGGTACATTTTTTCATCTTTATTATCTTTATCATAACAGCACGCGAGATGCGTTTTTCCAGTTTTTCCAGTTATTGATTTGTTATTGCTTCATCTGCACTGAAAAAAATTCTCGGTGTGTTTACTAAGAAAAGGGTAAAATTACCAAGAATTCAGGGTTTTATTTGATCCCAGTTTCTTCTTGGTAAAATTACCATTTATGGATTTGGTAATTTTACTGAGAAATCTCGGTAAAATTATTGAACTTTCTCGGTAATTTTACTGGACCTTGGTAAAAACGCCAATATTTTTTATCGACTGTGGTAAAATTACCGAGATAAAATGGCAAAGTTACCAGGAATCGATTACCAATAAAAGTGGTATTCTTACCTGAAAAAAACTGTAAAAATACCGGTTTTTAGGTAAGCTTACCTGTCTGTCTTAGTAAAATTACCAATAATTGGTAAAAAAAGTGAGATGGTGAAGGTACCAACGGACCTTCTTTTTCGTGTAATAGAGAATTTGCAGGTGTCTGAAATTTGATGAATTTCGTGTATATAGTGGAAACTACTGAGTGGACTAAACACGAGGATACCCTTGGTTCATGAATTGAATTATCATCGGAGAGGATATGACAAAATGATCTGATCTGCCGAAATACGTGTGTTTCAATGGGAATTGCCGCCAGATGACGTCATTAGGCGGTGCATGTTCTCACTTTTAAATCTATTTTTATACTATTTCCCTTATCATACATTTTTTTAACAAATACCGTGGAATCCGCTCTTCAAGCACTTTCACACTGGGAAAAAAATTCTCGGCGTTCTTACCATTTCCAATATTTTTATTGCATTGAAATTGGCTTTGAATGTCGATCAAAAGTTAGCCTGGAACGGAGGGTTTATCTATGTACATAGCCTGTAAGTTTGGTTGGAGTTTTTTCTTCAGGGTACAAAGGCACTAAGATGCAAAATGCTAGAGACATTATAAAAGTAGTGAACTAAGTATGCCATGAAACGCAAAGGCAAGATCTCAACTCTGCAATTTAGGAAAAAATATCGTGCAAGTCGAATTTCGAAGGATTTATCATCGAATACTTGAGTAATTGTTGCGAGTCATTTATGCAGCTCTCAGGAATCATTGATAGTTCATTTGAATTTTCAGCAAAATTAAGTTTTGAGAAATTTAATGACTTTTCATCGCGCGAAATCTCATTTTGCTGCTATGAGAATATCGACTCGTAATGGTGATGGAAGGGCTATAAGCTGCATGCTTATTGTTAGACATTTTGCCACGGTAAATCCATGGTGTTGCCTGACGAATTGCACGCGGAAGCGTCAGCCATGTTGAATATCGCGTAATATTCCAGTGCGCATGGGTTGGATGGAACGACTCCTCTTAGGAAATGCTCACCTTTGTCGAAGTTTCGTTTTTGAAGCGGTAAGCTTTTGAAAAAACGCATATTTCTTTCGGCGATTGTGAAGTTAGCAGTGTTTTTCAGACTTACCCTCTGCGCTCATCATGATTTTTTATCCTTTTTTTTAAAACAAAAACTCTTGTTTTCGCTCTAGCTGCAACAGGCCCATTTCGCAATTCTGTTGTCAGGAGACTAAAGCACTCACCAATTTTAACACAAAAATTCGACGTAATAAAGGCGTGGTTTTTTTAGAGAGAAAACATCGCATTCGATACTGATATCGAAACGGCACTCGAATGCGATATTTTCTCTCTAAAAAAACCACGCCTTTATTACGTTGAATTTCTTTGTTAAAATTTGTAGGTGAGTGCTTTAGTCTCCTGACAACAGAATTGCGATCTCAAAATTGGAGAAAAATGACGAATAGCTGAAAAAATGGGACCAATTGATGCGATATATCGCATGCCGTTCTGACACAAAATATGGCGTCCATCGAATCACCTTAAGCGGAAATTTCACCGTAGTTGAAATTCCCAACTTAGGTTCGGAAAACGAATGCGTTTTTCATGGTAGAACGAATCACGTTTGGACAAAAAAGAAAGCTACGGATATTGATGTCGCAGTGAAACCTTCTCTTCCCCGCACGCTAGGAATGCTCATGCACGCAAAACAATTGCATCGTAGAGTTCAAGAGAGTCGCAATGTACTGGAGCACCGATGAAGTTTCTTTTTGAGACTGTTTTTATAAAACACAAATTTTCTGCTGAACTTAAGAATATTTTGCTTCCAACTTTTCAAATAATTTTTTTTCAATATCACCCAAAGTTCCTTTAAATATCAAAGGATAATATTCATAACTTGCCTCAAAAATAAACATTTTATCGAAGGAAATTTGGCAAATCTCGAATGTTCATACGGCGTCCTTCCTTAGTACGGCAGAAAATCTTTTAATTTTTTTGGTCGCTCTCTTGTCGAAACGGACCTAAGAGAGCGGGAAGCGCTCCCTGGAGGTTGGGCCGAGTAGCGGCCAGGGGGCGCGGCCACCTAGTTAACTACACAGACGAATACAACGGTACTGCGAGCACCATAAATTCAGATTTTACCTCTGCGCCAAACTTTTGAGTAATGTACATTCTCAGGCTCCGTGATACCATGCACATGCACTTTCCGGGAACGATGCCTCTTTTGGCGACGGAGGCAAGTTGATAGTCACCCGCTGAGTCTTGGAAGTACCCATGTTTGAACTTGCATCTATTGACGCACCGGTCCCTCCCGAGCATGAGAATGCCTTTGTTGAAACGCAGCTTCGATAAATATCCCACTAACGAAAGTATCAAACAAAAATAACGAAAGAACATGCTTTTTATTCGTTAACCCTTTTATTTATGTACTAGGGGGCTACACGGAGAAAATAACTTCGTGCATGGGACTCAAAGTTGAGGTCAAATGGATCTCTGAAGTTTTCTGATCACGCAGTCGAAAACTTGAGGTCGAGCTGTCGAAGTTCGGGTCAGACATTGAGGCACTTCGGTATGTACCGGAGTACTTCAGATGTGTGACCCGAACCCTTCGGTATATATCGAAGTACCTCAGATGTCTGACCCGAACCTCGGCAGCTGGACCTCAAGTTTTTAGATACGTGACCCGAAAACTTCAGAGATCCATATGACCTCAACTTCGGGTCCCACGCACGAAGTTTTTTTCTCCGTTTACGTCTCTGACCGCTAATGCCCTTCCCCCGACTTAACATTTATAATTTTTTTTCTGACAAAATACTGTTTTATACGAGGGTCATCCAAAAAGTAAGTTCACCCCTTTCATATCTCCGAAACTAAAAGAGATAAATCAAATCGGTAAAAAAGAACTTCTTACTTATATCCTCAGCTCTCCATAGGTACCAAGATTTATAAATTTGGACCACTGGTTGCCGAGATATTCGATTTACGTGAACAACTCCCGACCAGTTCCGTCCACCAAACGCCGCGCTGCGATTCCCGTCACGCTACCTGAATTGACTGTGTTCCCCCACATCTACGTAGGAACCACCAACTCAAATATTCTAAGATTAGCTTTAAAACAATCTTACCTTATTTTTCGACGTAATTTCCGTTCCTATTGATGCCTTTTTCATAGCGTTTCTGAAGCTTCTTAATGCCGTTCTCAAAGAACTCTTTTGGTTGACTCTTGAACCAGCCATTGACAGCTTCCATCACATGCTGATCGTTCTCGAAGTGCTTCTTGAGTTGCGGGAAAAGATGATAGTCACTCGGGGCAAGGTCTGGACAGTATGGAGGATGAGGTGACACCTCCCACGCAAATTTGTCCAACAAATTTTGGGTCTCTTTCGCCGTGTGAGGTCGGGCATTATCGTGAAGGAATAGGGGACCACGAGACAAGAGACCCGGTCGCTTGTTTTTTATTGCCAATCGCAACGAATTCAATATTCCACAATACCATGGTGCATTGATTGTACACCCTTTCTCCAAATAATGGACGAGAAGTACTCCTTGAGAGTCCCAGAAGACAAAAGCGACGCGACAGCGCGCGGTGCATCTTATATCAGTCGTCGTCGTTTGGTGGACGGAACTGGTCGGGAGTTGTTCACGTAAAAATCGAATATCTCGGCAACGAGTGGTCCAAATTTAAAAATCTTGGTACCTATAGAGAGCTGAGGATATAAGTGAGAAGTTCATTTTTACCGATTTGATTTATGCCTTTTAGTTTCGGAAATATGAAAGGGGTGAACTTACTTTTTGGATGACCCTCGTACAAGAAAACCAACGAAAAAGATCATCTTCATTTTTTCGGCTTTCGCATACAATAAAAACTCAAGGATGAAATGTGAGCCCTCGCGGTAATTTTAATGTAGATGCGGATCCAGCAATTTGGCAACACCGGGTTCCCTCGCCTTAAATCTATGTTGAATAATCGATTCTTGTCGGAGCACCCGGTCCATCTAAGAATCGAAACATTTCCACAGGTTAAAATAGAGAAAAACCATGTTACCAATTTGCTGGATCCGCCTATGTTGGAATGGAGGCTACGAAACAGAAAAATGCTGTCAGATGCAGTTACAAGTACGGTTTTCCTGTGGACTAGCACTATCGTAAATGCCTCCAGTCAGGTAACTCGGAAACATAGACACCATGCACTGGAAAAAAAACACATTGGATCTAGAGTCCAGACTCTTAAAAACATTGACAAGAAAAAATACTCTTGATTCAATCGGATTCTTGCTTGAATCAAAACGAAATCTGCTTAAATTAAGAGGCTTGGTTCTTGATTTAAGCTAGATTCTGATTGATACAAGAGTACTTTTTCTTGTCGATGTTTTAAAGAGTCTGGACTCTAGATCCAATGTGTTTTTTTTTCCCAGTGTGTCGTAACATCCATTGACCGAAAGCCTTCGACATGAACATTTCAGTAATTCCTATGTTTCTTTTGTCTGTTCACAGGTAAGCTGCCCAAGTTCATTTTAGCGCTCTACGCACTAGCGCGCCACACAGGAGTGAGTTGAAAATGAATTTCCATTTTATTTGCGCAACGCATACGGATGCCTTTTTTGTAATTAATTAGTTGTTCAGTTTTTGTTTCAATAACGGAGCTTTTGCATCGAACTCGGGGGTAAAAAAACCGCTTATTTGAGGCCGTAATGGAGGAAATCCCCCACGCTACGCCGAAAGTCAACCTCTGTATCCAGGCTAAGTACAGATAGGGAGCACATACATTAGCAGGGTTGCCACCATGTTTAAAAACTAGGCTAGAATTACGGGAACGTTGTCAAAGTATTTGCTCCCTGTACGTAGAAGTTTGAATGGATATAGAGGTTGATTTTCAACGTAGCGCAAGGAATGTATTCCCCCTGTCACAGCCTCAACTTTGAGAGCTTTTTTTAAATTAGAGAGTTCCTTTCAGAGAATACAAGTCGCATCATCGTGACTCTCGCAAAATTTTCCACAAGAATAAGTACAAAAAAACAACTTAAATCGGGACTAAGGCCGCAAATAATAAAAAGAACACATATCATATCCAGAAAATTAATTTTACCATCAAATCCTTCCTCCAAAGTGAACTGAACGGCTGGATTTTTGAAGTTAAAAACCTGTAAGATTTGATTTGTAAAACAAAATCAAATGTACAAATCAAATCCTACAGGTTTTCAACTCCAAAAATTCAGCCGTACAGTTCACTTTAGAGGAAGAAATTGATGGTAAAATTAATTGTCTAGATATGATATGTGTTCTTTTTATTATTTCTGTTCTTAGTCCAGATTTGAGTTGTTTTCTTTGTCAGTGAACTTAATCCATGGCCTATTATTCTCAAAGATGAGAAACTTTTATCTTTTTGGTAATCCATCAGTTTACTACCGTATTATGTGCTTTTTTCCTGTCTTTTTTGAGACCACCTCTGTGCTTCAAAGAACGATGTCTTAATGTTTTTTTTTTTCGAGAAAAGCTGGCCGAATCCTTTTGCAAGGAGCCTTTCAAACTTCAGTGAAGTTTGTCAAATCACAAAAATCTATCTTTCTCGTATTTCGATTACATTTTGCAGTAAAGAACCACTGTTTCTGGCCCACTTACAGCATACATGTCATTGGTTTCCCTATGCAGATCTGCGCTTTAAGCCAAAGCCAAAGGTAGTGGTTTCTTATTGAAAAATGTAATCCATTTCATCTTTAGGTAAGTGTAGGGTTTAGGTGAACACTGATCACTTACGTGATGTGCCGGGCCGTATAAAGGCAAGAACCAGTAAACCGATCAGCGGTAAAATCAATGAAGCCAATCGCATTTTTACCGAAAATAGCGTCCCGAGGTAATCTTAACGTCATTCCTTCACTCACTACGTTTCATATTTCCCGTCTGCAGATTTGTCATTTTCGCGGGTTTTTTTTCCTCCGCGGAAAACGATGGCACTCGCAAATATCTGACGCAAACTGCCGCATGCGACGGTTTTTATTCGACCGATTAATCACTGACTTATTGCGGAAGCATTCGCCGGTACGAATATGCCTTTTACAAACCTTCCAGACCACCCATCGAACCCTCGGAGAAACCACGGTCTGGAATTGGTAACATTTTGACCCCCCATTTTGAGGCTTCCAGGGGTCACCTAGTAAAACCATACTTTTATACATCGATATTTTATGAGCTTTCACTGAACTTAACCGTTTTTCTTAAAATTAACCGTTTTCGAGCGAAGTGAGGGAAGCAAGGTTGCCACGATCAGGGAAAACCGGGTAGTGTCAGAGAAATTTATAAAGTCAGAAAAAACCTGGTAATGTCAGGGAAAATGACGACTCCGTCGCTATATAGCCATACCGTCCGTGTTCCGGGCTCAGAGACCGAAAGTTACGAGCGTATTATCGTAAGCAATCCAAACTACGGCTGCAGCACCCGGACCTTTCGGCCTCTGTGCCCGGAACGGACGGTATGTCTATACAGCCAGTAACTTTTTTTCAGTGCACGAATATCATTAAAATTCATGGCACGGACGATTTTAAAAACAGGTATAAAACTGGAACCTATACTTTGCTGATTCCCGCCAACGGTCAACTTCTCGGTTTTGCTGACATTCATCTCGAGGCCCCATTTCCGATACTCAGCCACCAACTTTCGAGTCATGTACTCAGCATCATCTTGATCTTGGGCGATAAGTACTTGGTCATCAGCAAAGCATAACGTGTAAAGAGTTTCTTCATTATTTAGAGGGACACCCATTCCGGAACATTTTTTCTTCCATTCACGCAGTACATGTTCTAAGTATATTTTAAACAAGGTGGGGGAGAGGCAACACCCTTGCTTTAGTCCCTTTGTTACATAAAAACCCCCCGACAAGCCCCCTTTACATTTAATTCTTGCGAAAGTCCCTTGATAAAAAAGCTTAATTGCATTAATTAGTCCACGAGTAAAATCAGATTTTTCCAAGGCCTCCCAGAGTTTCACTAAAGGCACGCTATCATAGGCTTTTCGCAAATCCACGAACACCAAATGCAATTCTTGACCAACCGCCATCTTCTTCTCAATAACCTGGGTGATGCAAAATAGATGGTCGACGGTTGATCTGCCAGCCCTGAAACCCGCTTGCTCTTCTGCCTCATGATGAATCCATTCTTCTTCGATTTTAGCTTTCAATATCTTACCATAAATTTTGCTGATCGTCCCGGTCACCGACAATCCACGATAATTATCGAGATCGTCCTTTTTCCCTTTTTTGTGGGTAGCTGTAATCCAACATTCTTTCCACTCCTTCGGGACTTCATCACCCTTCGCACATTTATACCCTTCGCACATTTCGGATGGGCGGCAAATTGGGAGCTGCGATATTTACAAATATTTAGGAGTGTTTTTAACCCAGGATGGAAGATTGGACCAGGCCATCAAGAAGAGGAATATGCTGGGTAGGAGGGCAATCGCTATGTTAAATGGAGTCCTTTGGGACCAAAGGATCTCCAAAGAGAACAAAAGGAGGATTTACAACGCGATTGTCAAGAGCATAGTAACCTACGGGTGTGAAGTATGGCCGATGAAACAGCGGACCCGGGAGGTTTTAGAGGCAACAGAGATGGACTTCTGGCGTAGATCCGCTGGTATTTCCAGAAAGGATCGCGTCAGGAATGAGACGGTACGGGATATCATGGATGCCAAGCAGACCATCGTGCATGACATTATGACAAAACAACTCATCTGGTATGGTCATGTCCAGAGAATGGCAGGAGACAGGTTGCCGAAGAAGGTCCTTGACTGGGTTCCTCCTGGGAGAAGACGCAGAGGGCGCCCAATGAAAGGTTGGAGGGACGGGATTGAAGCAGAAATGTTGAGGTGCTCAATCCCCCAAGATTTGTGGTTTGAAAGAGAGCAGTGGAGGTTAGGAGTCGTAGAGCGCGAGGGAGTGCTGTAAAGCGACTTGTATGTATGTATGTATAAAACTGGAACCTCCAATAATTGAAATAGCCTTCATACACGCTGGCCTTGTCGATTTCCTTTGACAATTTTGCAGTCGTGAATGCATAGCTGAAGTGCGCTCCAGGTAGAATTGTATCTAGCAAATGGGTGGTTTTTATACGAGCATTAAAAATAAACAAGTGGTACGGAATATAACAGAAGAATATGAAGTATGCAAAACGATTATCCGGGTATCGGAACTTGGCTGTTTTGAAAACGCCTTCAAATGCGGCGTGATACCTCACGCATTCCGGAGAGTTCAAATAGTTGTATCATAGCGCCTTAGAAATGCGACGGCACATAACAATTGAAATAGCCTCCATACACGCTGGGCTTGTCAATTTCCTTTGACATGTTTGCCGTGGTGAATGCATAGCTGAAGTGCGCTTCAGCTAGAGTTGTATTTAGCAAATGGGTGGTTTTATACGAGGATTAAAAATAAACAAGTGGTACGGATCAAAACAAAAGAATATGAACTATTTAAAACGATAATCCGGGTATCGGATTTTGGCTGTTTTGAAAACGCCTTCAAATGCGGCGTGATACCTCACGCATTCCGGAGAGTTCAAATAGTTGTATCATAGCGCCTTAGAAATGCGACGGAAGATTACAAAATTGACTCATGCCTCTTCTTATGTCTTCTCTTTGAAGCAACATTTTATTAACTCTCAATATGTTTTCATCGATTTAAACAGAAGTAAAGAAAACTTATATTGTATGTTACAAAGTGTTTTTTACAACTCTGGAGATGACGTTTTTGTCATTAAGCAGCAAAGCGAAATTTCTGAGTATTTATGAAACAGGTTTAATATTACACTAAAAGTTGCACCTAAAGTCCAAACAACGTCTAAGCGTCTCACAAAAATTGAAGGGAATCCGTCATTCTTTCCACAACTGTCCAGACGAATCAAGCAAATTCCATCGTCCAATGACAAGTAATGACCAAGGATCGATTTCATTGACTCTGTAATTTGACTGAATTGTAAAGAAAGGAAATTCAATTAAAATGACGAAATACTGGTTTTGTACCATTATGCTGCAAAATTTTATTTACATCGCCTGAAAGCACATAGTGCCATTTTCAGAGGCGTAACAAACTTCAACTAAAGAAACTAAAGATAATCACAAAAAAGCACAACTGAAAGCAAATCGCAATTGAAAGAATCAGTATACTTTTAAATGAAGAATAAGCTGAATAAACTACCAGCGCAAGAAGTAAATAAGATGCATTTTGGAAAAAAATTACTAAGGAGTAGTTTTGAGTTTAACTAGCCGCACAGTATCTCCTATCAAAATACAAACCAGAGATCAAATATTTTGAATATGAAAAGAAGGATTCAACGTATCTATCACGTAGTCTTAAAGATGAATAAGATTTGGAATATTTTTTTCTCGGTTCGATCTTGATGTGAATTCGGTCCAGATATTATCCTTACTGCTAAATCAAATTAATCAAGAATCATGATACCAATTTTTAATTAAATAATAATAATCAATAAGCAATCTTGTCGTCTTATAGAGGTATGAGATTTCAAATATTTTTTTCTCGTTTCGATCTTGATGTGCATTCGGTCCAGATATCCTTACTGCTAAATCAAATTAATCAAGAATCATGATAACAATTATTAATGAAATAATAATAATCAATACGCAATCTTGTCTTCTTACAGAGGAGTGAGATTTCAAATATTTTTTTCTCGTTACGATCTCGATGTGAATTCGGTACTGTCCATACCGTTTAATCAAATTATCATCAATTATAATAGCAATTTTTAACTAAAAATAATAATCAATAAGCAATCCTGTCCAACCGCGAATCTTGTTCAACGGTGAAACTGAATATGCGTATTTCGGTTCCGGTGTCCCAAAATCTCCCATTTTATTTTATTTTTCAAACGGAGACCAAACCAGCATCAATGCATCATGCATTGAAATTCTCACAGAATATTTTTTTATCTAGAATTGAAATTACTGAGATTTTCAAGAACTGGCGTTTAGTAGTTTCTAAAAAAAAAATTATAGTATGACAGGAATAATTGGAAACTCGCATCATGGATTGAAATTCTCACAGCATATTTTTTTATTGAGAAGCAAAATTATTGACATTTTCAAGAACTGCCGTTTAGTAGTTTATAAAAAAATTATAGTATGACAGGAATAATTGGAAATTCGCACATCTTTTTTTTTTTTTTTTTTTTTTTTTTTATTGCTAAGTGCTTTGCGTTCGCAGTATATGTTTCACAATATTTTTCCATTACGGGAAATCGTAAAAAAGTAAATTCAGAAGTGAGAAAATCTGCCGCCTTGTGACCTCATCAGGCGGTATTTCCCACTTGCTTACGTGCATTTTAGTAGAAAAAGTCGTTTAGTCATACCTCCTCTATTAATTGGTATTTTCAGAAACCAAAAATATTCTCGTGCTCAATTCACTCAGTAGCTCGGCCCTGAACCTGAAATTCACAAAATGTCTGACACCTGCAAATCTTTCAATCTACAACGCCGCGCCTCCTCATTTTTGCAGTGTCACTAAAATGCTATAATAGAGAATTTGCATAAAAGTCTGAATTTTTATGCATTTTATGTTTATTTGGCAACTACCAAGTGAACTGAGAAATATCCTTGCTTTCTAAATTGAACCATTGCTGAAGGAGTCATAACCACATGAACTAATCTTCTAAAATGCATGTGTTCAAATGAGAAATGCTTCCAGATGACGTAACAAGGCGGTACATTTTTTCACTTTGTAATCTATTTTTCTCCAATATCCCAAAATTTGAAAAATTATGAAAAATACTGCGAACTCAGCGCATTAAGCACTCTCGGATAAAGCAATTACATTATTTCGTGCAAAGTCGCCAATACCTCTCTAAGAGCTGGACCATTTGGACAGCGTTTAGCAGAAAGAAACCAAGCCACATCGCACTGGGGGAAAAAAACATATTGGATCTAGAGTCCAGACTCTTGAAAACATTGCATTGACAAGAAAAAATACTCTCGATCTAATCGGATTTTGCTTGAATCTAAACGAAATCCGCTTAAATTAAGAGGCTTGGTTCTTGATTTAAGCTAGATTCTGATTGAATCAAGAGTACCTTTTCTAGTCGATGTTTTTAAGAGTTTGGACTCTAGATCCAATGTGTTTCTTTTTCCAATGCAGCTATTTCCAAATGTAATCAGGCAAATTAATTTTTTACAAGAGTACTTCGAAGCGAATTCATTTACAAATTTTAAGAAATTTGCTTCATACTCTGCAGTAAATTCACCAAAATTTGCACAAAAATTTGCGCAACTGTCTTCATGTACAAAATTGAATTGCCCAATTATATTTGGCAATAGCTGATGTGACTTGGTACCTTTTATTTATTTCTGTTTAACGCCGTCCACTTGCACCGATGGTATTCAACAACTTCTCGGTCTCCTCCTCCGTTAAGATCTTCCCCATCAATGCCGCCAGCGATTGATTTTCGATGGCTGCCTGGTGGATAGCGCCTATGTTTTTCTCCGCCCTGGGGGAAGAAGTCTTGCCTTCTCCCACCCCGGTAGTCCCATTCTGTCCCACCTTGGTAGTCCCACTCTGTCCCACCTCGGTAGTCCCGCCCTTTCCCACCGCGTTAGTCTCTTTCTCCTTCATCCCGCCGGAGGAAGTTCTGTTTTCTCCTGTGGACGAGTGCCTGCTTCTGCTGGCAACTTCGTTCACAGTCGTAGCAGCAGCTCGTTTGATCGCAGCGAACCTCTCTTGTTCGGCCACCTTCCTCTTCGCCGTTATCTCTTGTAACTGGCCGTAAGTGACGAATTCGATCGCCTTGAGTCGCTTACGTCCTTTCTGCGTCTTGCCGAAGAAATTCATGCGTCCGTAACGATTGGCCTCCTGAGGATAGACGTATCACGGTTGTTACTCACGAAATTCTAGAATGGAGTTCTCACGTGTGTTAGGGCATTGGCGGATCCAGCAAATTGGCAACGTCACCTTTTCCCTATTTAAACCTATGGAAATTTATCGATTCTTGTAGGGGCCGAGTGTTCCGAC